TAAAATATTGACTCTGGGTAGAATTGGTTATTTTGGTCTTCATCTCCTTTTCAAAGATGGATGGCAGAACAGATTTGGTCACTGTAATAAGAGCTCCATTTAAAAAGAGACATTTGCCTGAAGGTTATTTTCTCTTACCTTTCCCCCCAGAGCAGAATTATGAATCTACCATGGGAAGCAGTGATGTAATTGCAAGCACTGCATCACTTTCCAGCTGCTTGAAAGGCCATTTGGGTCATAAATTAACCATAAAAATACAGATGAGAAAAATCTGCTTTTCTCCAGACATAGGAGAGTCCCTATCATGTTCAATCTAGGCAGCAAGCAGTGGACAGTTTAAGCTCACACTGATTTATTTAAATGGGCTGCTAATGCATCTTGGAGAAGAAACAGAGTTCCTGGTTAATCCATGGATGGCTGGTTCACTGCTGAAATTCTCAGTGTAAAGTAACATCACTCCAGTGATTGCAAAGCTACCAATTCCACTGATAAAATGGGGGTTTGGGGAACCAATGGCATTTATAACAATTTATGCCATCTGGCTTCTCTTTTTTTTTCTGACTTGATATTTCAATTGCTGAAATTTATTCTGCAAGATATAATGGCATTAGTTATGTGCTTCAATTTCAATTTAGACAATGCCAAGGATAAATGCCACATCAAGTTTCTAAACTTCACACAGCAAGGATCTTCCCTTTTTGCTAACTGCACAGATTTAATAGCTGTGCAGAAAAATATTGAGGCAAAGATGTGTTCAACTGAGAAGAGAATTCAGGACTGACATATCCTTCTAATTATACCAAGGAGGAAAAAACTTAAGAGGTTTCAGTAATTTTGTAGGCTCCCAGTGAGGTACTCTCCAGCCAGTTTATCTGCCTTTAAGCATTGAGGCAAAGATGTGTTCAACTGAGAAGAGAATTCAGGACTGACATATCCTTCTAATTATACCAAGGAGGAAAAAACTTAAGAGGTTTCAGTAATTTTGTAGGCTCCCAGTGAGGTACTCTCCAGCCAGTTTATCTGCCTTTAAGCATTGAGGCAAAGATGTGTTCAACTGAGAAGAGAATATTAAATCTGTGCAGTTAGCAAAAAGGGAAGATCCTTGCTCTCACTGGCTGGAGAGTACCTGAATTCAGGACTGACATATCCTTCTAATTATACCAAGGAGGAAAAAACTTAAGAGGTTTCAGTAATTTTGTAGGCTCCCAGTGAGGTACTCTCCAGCCAGTTTATCTGCCTTTAAGCATTGAGGCAAAGATGTGTTCAACTGAGAAGAGAATTCAGGACTGACATATCCTTCTAATTATACCAAGGAGGAAAAAACTTAAGAGGTTTCAGTAATTTTGTAGGCTCCCAGTGAGGTACTCTCCAGCCAGTGAGACATATAGTCGTTAAAGTTTGGACTTTTCAGTTTATCTGCCTTTAAGCATATGTATGCACAAAAGAAACTGATTAGATGTAATTAATATAGAAAATGAAAGTAAACCGGTCCCTTGGAACCTCTCCAGATAAGGAGAGGATGACAGATTGCCCACATGTGCTCTGGATGGCTGCTCCTCATGAGGAGACTGTAGGACAGCAGTTTTCTGCAGGTTTGAGTGCCAGGAGACGGAGGGATTAGCCATCTTGCTCACAACCACAGCAGAGCCTTTTAAAGGACATTAAGTCCGCAAGTCTCACTTTTGAATCATTTATGGAAATTGTTTATTAACCATCTCAAAGCTATTAGAGACCTTCAGAACGACAAGTTTGAAAAGTCATCAGGTGAATTTATCTTCAACTCTGAACAGAAGAAAAATTAATTATAAGCTTAAGAACTTAAACAATTTGAAATAAACAGCAAAAAACTAAATAAGATTTTGATCTTAAAAGTTATAAATTGATTAAGGATCCAGATAAATTTGGAATATTGACTTTTACTATAAGATTTTGGCATTAACTATAAAAAATAGATAGCTTCTCATGGGAAACAGACTTACTTTGGCTACCCTGGCTATTGCAAGTCATAACAAAGGTAAGTTACTTTATTATTTTAGAAACAGGGCACTAGAGGGGATTAAAGTTTCTAAGCAGAAGGAAAAAAAAATACAAGCCTGTTCTTAATGTCAGTTAACACTGGGACTTACAAAATATTACAAAATGATATAACATCAGAAACATTAAAGCAGATCTTTGAAGAATGGAGCCAAAAATTATTAGCTACAATATCAACACTGCCAGTAATGATGTTTGCTTCTAGCAGACTACGTCCAAAAGATGTTAATGAAGCAATGACAGATGTGGAACAATTTTTATCTAACAAGACAGAGAAAGTACCAAAAGTGAAACTACAAATGACAGGCCAAGAGAATGATTTGGAAAAATATGTTTTACTGGATATACAAAAGAAACTGGCTGAAGTTTTAAAAATTAAAAGGGAAATACAAATGATAAATCAAGGGAATGACTTGAAAAATATTTTCTTATTAGATCTACCAAAGAGATTTGTTAAAACCTTGAAGAAATCTGTGTGATGGGATAAAGAAGAATTGAAGATAAATCAAATCTTTAAACAATATTTGATTGAATTAAAGATTAAGACTGTTAGCAGTAAAAGGAAGGAATATAAGGTTGGTTTATTTGATCAAGATTAAAAATAAGTTGTGTTTTTTTTTTTCTTCAAAGTACTGACAACCCTTTATGGACTTTTTGCTGACATCAGGATTGAAAAGTTGATGTTTTATGGATTTGCTTATAGATAAGGGATGGGAAATGGGATGAAGAAAGATCAGTTTGTAACCTTACAGGGGGTGAAGAGTCACTAAATTTGTTTATAGTTGTAATGAATGTTTGAAGTCACTTTTTTATACAATTCTTTGCTTTTTCTTTATGATATTCTTTCTTTTCTTTTTCTTATTTCTTTCTTTTTCCCTGCACTTTTCTTTTTTTCCCTCTTTTCTTTCTCTAAGTTCAGTTTGTATTAGTTTTTACTACTGTAATCAAAATTCTTAATAAAAATTATATTAAAAAAAAAGTTCTGCTTTCTGTTGACATGAAATAAAATGGGAGCTTCTCAAGACATTGCTTACAAACTACATTGGTTTTCCATGCTAAGGGGATTCCCATGTCTGTCTTCCTTGCACCTCAGATTTTGATAGATGTACAGTGTACCTTAGTGGAAAACAAATATACAACTGGAACATTCCCAGGGCTTGTTGGTCTATTTTTTCCATTTTAGATTGTGTGCATATAACATCACTTGGAATGTTGTGTCCAGTTCTGTTTGACATGATGGAGAATTGAAAAAGTGAACTCTTAACCAGGACATATCAGGAAGAAACATGTTTGTGGTATGGGAAAGCCAGTTTTAAGTTCAGAGAGAAAAAAATTAAACTATACAATGCTAAATAAGCTTCTAGTGAAGTGGCTGCATCCTTCAATTGGGGGTGGGGGTGCAAGCCAAGATCCATGGGACCTCCACCATCATATTTGGAGCCTACAGAGCATCTCTCTAGTGGGAAGTCCAGAATTTTTGGCCTTTTTCTTTTACATCAAAGGTTTTTTGCATCATTTCAGCCTTTAAAGAACTCACCACCACCACCAACAGCTCCCAAAAACATTGCTGGGCTGATTTTTTTCTGTTGGGGAGAGGGTTAAAGATAAAAATGGATGCTTTAAGCATTTGCAAGGCTTAAGGCATCATTTTCACTTTTTCATATCTTCCCAAATGGGTCAAAAACATAGCCCATATCACAATATCACCAACAATGTTATCTGCAGCTCCTGGGAAGCAAAAAAGAGCATAACAAAACAGAAACAGTACAGTACTTCATGAATGCCAGTAATTCATGAGTATCCCTGTCATAGAGTTTCAAAACAAGAACTGTGGTTTGATAGGCATGTTTTAAGTACAGGATGATTCAAGTATAGGATCTCCAGAAATTAGATGATCCACAAACTTCATTCCAAATGTATTTTCTGGAATCTACAAAAATGAAACACACTGAAGTAATCTCAAGGAGTGAGTAAGCCTGCTAATAACCAGTAGCTGCCGTTCATCCATACTGACAATGTTTATAGACACTAGCAGCTGATCTCAGAAAAATACAAAGAGAAACCACCTGAGTCAGTTGCAAATGTGGTCCAATAGCTTGCTAAAACTGTTGTGATTTCAAAGTTTGTTGGCAGAAAAACACACGACACCTTTCTTAGATAGGAGAACTGTCTGTAAGCCATATTTTAAATCAAGAACTGAATAATCCTGGGTTTTGTTTGTCTGTTTTTAGCATTTTAATCTGAACTCCATTTGGCATACTTGCCCTGAGCATTTATTGCCTTTATTAAAGAGGAAGAGTCCCAAAGATACTTTGTATACACAAATGGTAACAACATCATGGTTATAACCAATAGTCCCATACCACTGAGATTCATTATACTTTGCAATTCGTAAATCTAAATTTAATGAGCTGTTGGCAATCTGAGATGTGACAGAGGAAACTGTATAATATCTCAGAAACAATGTAAGTTTCAGAAAGAGCAGATTTCCAGTGTCTTCACAAATTCCGTTTTTTAGTTGAATGGCTCTGTGGTGGCTGCTGTGCTGAGCTTATCACAAGTCCTAATGATAAGTATTATTTTGTTATTCCCTTGGATTTGCCATCTGTTATGATCACCTGTTTGCTCATGGCTTAATTCCCATATCCTTAGAGCAGACACTAGTTATATATTCCAATCTTTTTTCTTTTCTTTTTTTTGGTCTTACCTATTTGGGACCAGGACAGTCTCTTGCAATATGTGTGCAACTGAATTTTGGCCTTCTTTATTAACATCCCTCTATTAGCATCCATAGATTATGAATGTAATAACGATTAAAATATATATTCAAGTTGGACCACTTGTAATAAAAATAATTAGAACAAGAGGACCAATGTAGCATGTAAATTATAACTAACTGAAAGATAATTATTGAAAATGACACACCTGTTAATCTCCACAGGAGTTCTTACATGCAAACTACCTACCAAAGAGCTGGTATAAGTTGGATCTGAGGTGTCATCTTGCAGGTAGCGAGAGAGACCAAAGTCAGATACTTTACAGACCAGGTTGCTGTTGACCAGGATATTCCTGGCTGCAAGATCACGGTGGACATAATTCATTTCTGCAAGGTACTTCATGCCAGCTGCAATCCCTCGTAGCATTCCCACCAACTGAATGACTGTAAACTGACCATCATTTTGCTATAATAGTGAAAATTAAGCACAGGAGTTAGCATTTTTCATGTGTCCAGTTAAACTAGAATCCAGGCTGGGAGTAGAAGTCTCCCCAAAATTGCTAGAGAAGGAAAAAGCCTGTTGGAAATAGAGGGAAGTTGATTTGGGATAACCTAATGGAATAGGCATAAATTATAGGAAGCTAATTCAGAGGAAATACAAAGACAGCAGCGAAACAGGATTTAGAGAAAAGAAACTGCTGAGGAAAAAAAAATCAGAGAACATAAAAAGCTGAAGAACGAAAGAGCCAGTCAAGGGGGTGTGCAAGAAAAATAAAAGCTCCCATTGTCCAACAGCAAGAAAAATCATACACTGATAGCAGAAGGGCTGGGTCTGGAAGGAAAGTTATATTTCAATTCTCACAATTGAAGTTGCTAACAAGAAATAAAATGTGAAATCTTTCAAGACATGCTTATGGGTGATTTCATTATGAGAAGAAGGCTAGAGGGCTAGATGCTATTTTAGAATGATTAATTTGGAGGAAGAGGAGGAGGCTTAATCTGCACAGCCATCCCTACCACGGTGGCTGATCTCCCTAGATCATTGTTTCTCAACCTTGGAACCTTTAAGATGTGTGGGCTTCAACTCCCAGAATTCCCCAGCCAACCAATTCCCCAGACATTAAAAACCAGCTATTCTGAGAAACAACTATGGAATTCCCTGAGTGAGACCAGCATCATGGGTCAGTTTGACCATCCAAATATTTTTCGGCTGAACCCCCCTCCAGCTGAATAATATTTGGATGGTCAAACTGACCCATGATGCTGGCCTCACTCAGGGAATCCTGTCATTGTTTTTCATAATAGTCGGCCTTTAATGTCTGGGGAATTCTGGGAGTTGAGGTCCACACATGTTAAAGGTGCCAAGATTGAGAAAAAAATGTCCTAGATGGCTCCATTTCATTATCACTTAAAAAAGACTACTGTACTTACTCTCAGAAAAGAATCCAGGGCTCCATTTTCCATAAATTCTGTGATGATCATCACTGGCCGACTTTTAGTGACAACCCCCTCCAGCCGAATAATATTTGGATGGTCAAACTGACCCATGATGCTGGCCTCACTCAGGAAATCCCGTCGTTGTTTCTCAGAATAGCCGGCCTTTAATGTCTTAATAGCCACATAAATTTCTCTCTTGCCAGGCAGTTTCAGGCGCCCTTTATAAACTTCACCAAATTCTCCTGTAATGGGATCAATATAAGTTATAACCAGGTCTGATCAATTTGGCATTTCAAAAAGAGAAGCTAATAAGAACTATATAAGAGATTTGGACAGGTGTTTCTGAATGAGGTGTAGCTACAGAGTGCTATTTTCCCCCAAGATATTACAAATATTTCTTTGAAAAGGCAGTGTTTTATTACAAGTAATGAGTTTTTAAAGGCTTTACATGAGGAAACAAGAGTTCCTGTTACTTCGCTGGTTGTGCAAAAGAGGAAACTGTTCTCATACTGTGAAATGGCACATAGTATTTCTTCTTCACAGCTATGAAATAGACAGTTATCTCTAATCAGTTAGCCCTTTCATAACTATAAATACTGTGGTTCTAAATTGTCAAGCTGTTGTGTTGACATACAGCTATGCATATATGCTCATTTTAAAACAAAATTAAATTAAAACTACAAATAGTTTAATAGCACCCTCAAAGAAAAACATATTCATTGTTGTACAGCCTTTTGTTATTCATGGAATACAATCCAGAGAAAGCAATATTGCACACACAGGCAACTGTTTTGGGAAAGGTAAGGGAAGAGTGGAAATGTTAAAAAAAAAAAGCGCAAGACAGTGAGAATTATCTATTGTGGTCACTTGTAGAAGCAAAATATAAGCTATACAGATTATGCATCTGCACGGAGTCCATTAGGAATCTCCCAGTGTTTAAGGAATAATGAGTGGGAGTCCCCTGCACCATGACAAACACAGCCAATCTTGGCTCAGACTGAACCTCAATTCCTGAAAGGATATCAAACATCATTTGGAGTAAGAGGACAGGTTGTATATATTAATAAATGACCACTCAAATAATTCCAATTAGAGGTAAATCAATTACATTTTCTATTCATTGAGCTATCTATGATTCAGACACACACATGAGTTAGCTGGCCTGTTAGCAGCAGAACCATCTGGTAGTTATACAATGACTCACTGAAGAACTAGCCAATGACATACTTCTGAAAACAGAGGTCTAGATGATAGTACTGAATGAAAGAAAAAGGCTGAGCCCAAAGAGCTGCCCACCACAGCTCCAGAAGAAGGACACCATTAGGAAAAGCTGCCATATTGCCATCTCTTTTAAAGAATGAATGTGGATCTAATGGGAGGAGTGTTGTTTGGCTAGCTCATAAGAAAACTTGATGGTTGTCACTATACATTTGGACAATAACTGGGAAGAAGCACATAACCTTCTGGTCTGGAAAGGGCAAAAGTAGATACTGGTCTCTTTGGAATGATGCTGCTCAGTTTAAGCAGAAGGCAAACATTATTCAGGCATTCAGAGAATCTATCTGTCTCTTTATTGGTGTCAAGGAAATGGGAAAAACAGCTAGCTAACATGTGAATCAAGTAGAACGCAGAGAGAGAGGGGTTTGGGAAGAAAGGAAATACCTAGGTGAAGGACTGTCTCTCTGAAGAATACAGAAGGGCAGTTTTCTATGCAAACCACATAACTTCCTGATCAGCAAGCTCATGCTACAGCTATAAAAATGCTGCCTTCCATGAAAGATGATGGGAGCAATAGCTATCAACTCAAAAGGATATTAAAAGGGAAAGAATAAAGAAAAGATTCCAGGCAGGGACCATCAGGGGTGCCATAATGGTAATCCAGATCCTTGTTAAAGTGTTTACCCAGCAAATTAGAAAAAAGGAAGTGCTATCTACCAGGGTAGAAGAAAGAAATGGTTGTAAAATATAATTTTATGGAGGTGAGTGCCAAGCCATTCTGTTAAAACTGTGAAAGAAACACCAACATACAATGAAGATCTATTCTAGAGGGTTGAATTGTTCTTTCTGTACAAAGACTGCAAATGATGTTCATGTAGCTGTGGATAAAGTTTTTGTGAAGGGCGTTTAAAAGCCAGGAAGTTTTCTTCTAATTAGAATCTAAGGGGAGACAGAACAGAATCAAGCTGTTAGATGGGTAATACGTTATTTAGGTAATATGCTTGCCTATGATGGATAGACAGTGGGTTCCTTAATTTGTGCAGAAGCCTAGGCATTAAAGATCATTCCAGGATGCAAAGAGATTAACCTTGGGATTGCCCCAGGGAGATCTGAGGAAAGCTGTAGTTGTGGATGTGGTCTCCAATCATAAATATGAATTGCTAGAATAAATATTGAATGTAGATCACAGAAATGCCCTATTTACACCATGAGACAAAAAAATGAGATGGACTTTGTGCCACCTTGTTTATGTATCAGAAACCATAGCATTATCTGATACTATTTTGGCAGTTCTACTTTGGCAGAAACCCCCAAAGGGGGTGGGTTCCAAACTTCTAGCTTACTAATATATGAAAATTATTAGTAGTGGACCAGTTGCCTCAGATGTGAAGAGAATAAAGAATAAACCCACACATAGATACATGAATGATGACGACTTGTGTTTGGGAGTGAGGTGAAAAAACTAGAACCTGGATACAACTGTAACTTGCCAGTAATAGATGGACTGCCTGAAGCCAGACTTCCCATAGTTGACCCCAAATCCCAAGTATTGTAAAAAGAGAAGCACCTGAAAAATATGGCAAAAAATCATGATGCATGATGGCCCAACTAAGGGTCAGTCATCTAGAAAGGGAATATGATACCCTAGAGGTGAAGATACAACTCAATGGATGTTATGCCCATAGGGAAAAAAACCTCTAGGTGCTGTATTTGATATAATCAAAACTGGTACATGTAACCATCAGCTATAAAGCAAAGGAAAACATAGTGATAGCACACTATAAATATATAAAAACAGACTTTTTGAAAATCAGTATATGTGAACCAATCCTTTGCCGTAAGAGGGAAATAATGATACTGAGATCATTCTGAAGCAAGACAACTTGAAGTAGCTAAGATGCTGAGGACCTGGTGTAGGTTTGGGTCTGCCATCCTTCTTGGAAATGGTGACATACATTTGATGGAAGGTAGCTGTGCATAACCTCAGAAAGACATGTTCAATCGCCCTTTTGTGGTAAACCTCCTGCTTAGTTGTCATAATCTGGTCTTAAGAGCTGACCTCAGATGCTGGAGGACCAGGAGGAAGCAAAGCAAGAAGCAGACTCTGTTCTGCCAGTTCCCAACAATGATGCTGAGCCAACAACCTGTCCCACCATTTCTGCCCTGGATCCAGCAGATTCTGACCCAAACCAAGAACTCCTTCTATCTAGCACTCAAAAATGCAGGGAGTCTGAAGATACAGCAGCAAAAGACAGAGAGAAACAGGAATGCACCTGAACTTGGAAACGCTGTTCAGGAATAACCAGTTGAAGGAAGTCAGACCTGATCAGGGCCATTTGTGCTTAGGTAGGATCGAGCTGCTGCTATTTAGATGAACTCTACTTGGGGTGCCTTTAAAAAACTACTCAGAAACTACAGTTAGTCCAGAATGCAGCAGCCTATGTACTTACTGGCGCCAGACCACATAACACCTATTCTGTGAGCCTGCACTATTTACCAATTGTTTTCTGAGTACATTTTAAACTGCTGATTTTGACCTATAAAGCTCTTTATAGGTTGCCACCTGGCTAGCTGCAGGACTGCTTAATTCAACTGGAAATGACCCAATTTACTAGATAATCTAGGGAAAAAAATGTTTGTTGTCCCATACTTCCAAGAGGTGGAACCAATGTCAGAAAACACTGCTTCTTTGTGGTAGTGCAAGTGCTCTAGAATAGTCTCCCTGGAGATCAGGCTACCCCTCTCCTTATTGGTTTTCCAGAAGTTGTTAAAAACAGAATTACACTACACCATTTTTATTACATTATATTAATTTCTACTTTGGAGTATGTTATTTCTGTTGTATTGTTTCTTTTGGTCTGGCATTGTATCATTGTTATTTTATTAGCATTTCTAATCATACTGTAGGTGTTTTAATGTTTTGCTATATTGTACTCATGTGAGCCCCCAAAAGTCATTGGATTGCAATCCAAGAGTCATTGTATTGGATTGCAGTGAGATATAAATGCAATCAATAAATCATAAAAGAACAATGAATTCCTGTTCTAGAAATTCTAGCTGCCAAGACCTCTCCTTGGAATTTGACTTGGTTTGTCTTCAGGCTCTGTCTCTTTACATTCCTCCAGACTCTTTGCCCACTGAGTCTGCTTATGTGTATATGAAATTTGGATTGAATGTTTATTTATTTCAAGTGTGTTTATGTCACTTCAACTGACAGCAACTTATGGCAGAAAAGATCATCCACAGGATGCAAACAAGATTCAAAAACTTCAAAAAATAATAACACAATTCCAGTTCCTATCAGTCACTGCTTACCTTCTATATTAATAGTACCACCTATTCACCTCAGGTATATCCACCCTGTACTGTGCATTCCCAAATGCTCTTTGAAAGATACAGTTTTTTAACAACTTCTGGAATATGAAGAGTGGAGGCACAGATCTTTTGTCCAGTGATAGGGTATTCCACAAGATGGAAGCTCCTAAAGAAAATGTTCACCTCTGAGTCCCCTCCCACCTCATGTGGGGAGGAACTCTTAGAAAATATTCTCTACAGGCATTCCTTGGGCAGGCAGATTCTATCTGGAGTAAGCAGCATCATAGATAAACATAAAGGGTTTTAAAGGTCATAACAAGCACTTCGAATTAAACAAAATGGTAGCTAATGCAAGTCCCTCAATACTAGTGTTATATGGCTATATCGGGTGGTCCCGCTTAATATGTGAGCAGCCATGTTTTGCATCAGTTGCAGTACAGTCTTCAAAGATAGTACCATGTAGAGAGCATTTCAATATATATTACAGAATTAAACCACATAAGCACTATTGTTATGAGGCTAGAATATTAATTCTGGAAGTACTCTTAAACCAGCAGGGCGATTTAGTGTGGTATTAGCCCAGAATTCAAGGTGATAGTTAATCCTGGAAAACAATTCAAAAACCCACAGGTTTTTAGTTATAGCTACATGTGGACTGTGTATTGAGGGAAAGTGAATTGGAAGAAGAGTGTAGTTTTCAAATTGGAGG